AAAAAAAAAAAAAAAAAAAGGAAGGAGTAAATGGAAGAATATGAAATGTAAAAAAAAAAATATAAAATGGGATAGGTGGGCCAGGCGCGGAAAAAAAAAAATGTGATCCCAGCACTTTGGGAGGCCGAGGCGGGTAGATCACAAGGTCAGGAGATTCTGGCTAACACGGTGAAACCCTTTTGTACTAAAAATACAAAAAATTAGCATGAGCCTATAGTCCCAGCTACTCGGGAGGCTGAGGCAGGAGAATCCAGTTGCAGCGAGTCGAGATCATGCCATGGCACTCCTGGGCGACAAAAAAAAAAACGTCTCAAAAAAAAAAAGAAAAAGGAATCAAAAAAAAAAAAATATTAATTCCTTTCCCACTGTGACAGCCCAAAAAAAAAAAAAAGGGAAGTATCTAAAACTCCTGACTAATCAATCAGGAGGTCATCGGTCATCAAAGCAATTCCAAAGTTTAAAAAAAAAAAAAACAAGTTTCCAGTGACCCTTGGTAAGCAAAAAAAAAAAATCAGCTCTAATGCTGCTGCGAAGATAATGCAAAAAAAAAAAGTGCATGTCTTAGCACCTCACCTAACTCTGAAAAAAAAAAACTCCCCATAGAGATTTAATAAGACAACTTCAAAAAAAAAAAGCAAAAGTGAAGACTGGCTCTATTTTACAGAAAAAAAAAAATATGAAAACCAAAAAAGGCTGGAAGAAGAGAAAAAAAAAAATGTGCTTACATTTGAAGATCTTCTTTGCTTAAAAAAAAAAATTGCCAAAGGAATGGAATTTCTGGAATTTAAGTCGGTACGCTCCTTTTAAAGAAAAAACAAACCAAAAAAAAAAAAAAAAAAATGTGCTTATATATTTTTTCTTGTTTGTTTAAAAAAAAAAACCTTAAAGTCTACCTTTTCTCCCCCGTTCGCTGTTGGAGTCACCTAGAATGTTACCTTGGCTCTTGGCTAATTGTGGTAGCATAAAGGCTTGGGATCCCCTGTGAGGTCACGGCTAGCACAGCCCTCCCAGCCTGCACAAAGTCCCCTGAAACAAAAAAAAAAAAAGGTGGAGATAGGAAGTCCTCAGAAATCCAAAAAAAAAAAAAAGTATGGCATTGTCAGTCCCTTTCTGAAAAAAAAAAAAAGTTGTGCCCTGCATGTGGGCATTCACTCGGAAAAAAAAAAAGCTGAAATCCAGCCAGCCACCCTGCGTGTCTTTGTCTAATTTGCACCCTACGTGCTGTGGGCTGGCAGCAGAAAAAAAAAAACACTGCCTCCTCTGTTGCTAACCCCAGATCAAAAAAAAAAATGTTGGTAAGGCCCTGGAGCCTGCCGTGAAAAAAAAAAAAAACCCCAATTTTACTTTCTTTTTGAACTGCCAAAAAAAAAAATGTTCTCTGTGATTTCAAACGTCTCCTGCCAAAAAAAAAAACACAGCCCGCCGTCTGGCTACCTTCCTTCCTCATTTGCTTGCCTTTCATTACCTTCTCTTTATTTCCCAAAAAAAAAAAAAATCATTTTTCTTGCAGTCTTCTAATCTCCTCCTCCTCTTCTCCACTACTTCCTTCCCCTTGCCTCTTCTCTCAAAAAAAAAAACTGAATTTGGAAAGATTACTTTCAATTGTAAAAAAAAAAAATCTTTTCCTTTTCTGGAGACAGAGTCTCGCAAAAAAAAAAAGGTTCAAGTGCAGTGGTGCGATCTCAGCTCAAAAAAAAAAATGCCTCCTGGGTTCAAGCAATTCTCATGCCAAAAAAAAAAATGTAGCTGGGACTCTGGGCGCGCACCACCAAAAAAAAAAAATTTTTTGTATTTTAGTAGAGATGGGATTTCAAAAAAAAAAACAGGCTGGTCTTGAACTCCTGAGCTCAAGCAATCCACCTGCCTCAGTCTCCCAAAGTGCTGGGATTAAAGGAAAAAAAAAAAGCACCCAGCCTTTTTCCTTTAAAAATTTATAAAAAAAAAAAGACGTTCATGGTGCGTGTCTGTAGCTCCAGCTACGTCGGAGGCCAAGGTGGGAGGATAGCTTGAGCCTAGGAGTTGGAAACTGCAGTGAGCTAGGATCGCACCACTGCACTCAAAAAAAAAAAACAGAGCAAGACCCTTTCTGTAAAAAACAAAAAAAAAAAAAACTGGGAGCGGTGGCTCACACCTGTAATCCAAAAAAAAAAAGAGGCCCAGGCGGGCGGATCACGAGGTCAGAAAAAAAAAAACATCCTGGCTAACACAGTGAAACCCCATCTAAAAAAAAAAAACAAAAAAAATTAGCCGGATATAGTGGCAGAAAAAAAAAAACCCAGCTACTTGGGAGACTGAGGTGGGAGAAAAAAAAAAAACCGGGAGGCGGAGCTTGCAGTGAGCCGAGGAAAAAAAAAAACACTCCAGCCTGGGCAACAGAGCGAGACTCAAAAAAAAAAAATAAATAAATAAATAAATAAATAAAAAATAAAAAAAAAAAAGTGGTGTATGTCTGTAATCCCAGTGCTTTCAAAAAAAAAAACAGGGATTTCCAGGCTGCAATGAGCTATGAAAAAAAAAAAACTCTCCAGCCTGTCTATTCAAAATAATAATAAAAAAAAAAAAAAAGCAATAATAATACAAGTTTTTAAAAAAAAAAAAAAAAATAGTATTTCCCCACCTCTCAACTGCAAGGAAAAAAAAAAACTTCATTTTCCCCACCTGCTGCTTGGATTCAAAAAAAAAAAGCATCTTGCCCACCTCAGTCTTTCTCTATTAAAAAAAAAAATCTACAATCCTGCTTTCAGAAGCATTTTTTAAAAAAAAAAAAGACAATGTCTTGCTCTGTTGCCCGGCCTGGAGGGCAGTGGTGCAATCTCAGCTCACAGCAACCTCTGCCTAAAAAAAAAAAGCTATCCTCTTGCTTTGGCGTCCCTCGTAGAAAAAAAAAAAGGTGCGCACCACCACACTTGGCTCATTTTTAAAAAAAAAAAGGGGACAAGGTTTCACTATGTTGGCCAGACAAAAAAAAAAATCCTGACCTCAAGTGATTTGCCCGCCTCAGAAAAAAAAAAAGCTGGGATTACAGGTGTGAGCCACTGTACCAAAAAAAAAAACATCTTTACAGATGTGGGAGAGCACCTACTAAAAAAAAAAAGCCTGGTTTGCTGCCCATAGTTAAGTAAATACTCAAACCACTCCCAACTGGTGGTCAAGGGCACTGCTTCCAAAAAAAAAAAAGGCTTGTAATACTATGAATTTTTGAAGAAAAAAAAAAAAATTAGGCCCTCTATCCTTTTATCTTCACATCAAAAAAAAAAATTGAATCATGCGTGTCACTGTCCCCTGCTTAAAAAAAAAAACCACCCTGATACTCCTCGGGTACCCCTCAGTTTACTCTATAGGCCCTTGACTTCATCAAACATTTGTTGAGAAAAAAAAAAATGCCAAGCACTGTCCTAGATGCTGGAAATAAAAAAAAAAAAATGATATGACTCTTGGGCTTGAAGATCTTAAAAAAAAAAAAGGAGACAGAGATAAGCAGACACGCAAGTCAAAAAAAAAAAAGAGGCCGGGGGCGGTGGCTGAGGCCTGTAGAAAAAAAAAAATGAGAGGTCGAGATGGTGGATTGCTTGAGGAAAAAAAAAAAAGACCAGCCTGGCCAACATGGCGAAACCCCAAAAAAAAAAAGAATAAAAAAATAGCTGGGCATGGTAGTGAAAAAAAAAAAAACCAACTACTTAGGAGGCTGAGGCATGAGAAAAAAAAAAAATGGGAGGCAGAGGTTGCAGTGAGCAGAGATAAAAAAAAAAAACTCCAGCCTGGGTAACAGAGTGAGACTGTAAAAAAAAAAAGTTTTAAAAAAATTTAAAAAGTTTAAAGAAAAAAAAAAAAAAGCGTGGTGAGTGTTGCGATTGAAGTAAGTAAAAAAAAAAAAGGGGAGGGATCTGCACAGCAGACCTGGCTAAAAAAAAAAAAGATGCAGTGGAAGAGGCTTTCTGAAGGAGAAAAAAAAAAATGCTTGGACTGATGGAGGTTTTTGAAGGAAAAAAAAAAAAAGCAGGGAATGTGGAATAGGATAGGGAGCATAAAAAAAAAAAGAGGTTTTTTTGGATAAAGGTAATGAGTTGAAAAAAAAAAATGTGAGGTGCCTTGGGCAACCAAGTAGAGCAAAAAAAAAAAGACACTTGGACACTCGTGTCTGAAGCTCAAAAAAAAAAAAAGGGTTGGAAATAGGGATGTTGGCAATGGTAAAAAAAAAAAAAGATTTGGATGAAATGGCTTGGGTGAGGGTAAAAAAAAAAAGGATGCAGCCCTCAGGAGTGAGAGTAGGCTAAAAAAAAAAACCCCTGAGGGA